CATAACATCATTCACAAAAATCATCATCCACATTATCCAAGTGAGTAGCATGTGGAGTCTTAAAACTTTTGAGCAGTCATCTAAGGAACACTGCAGATTTCTGCTCACCAGGAGTAAGATTGGTCACGCTGCTGTAAAAACACTAAGAAGTAACCAAAAGCTGTCTACTCCAGAGGAAATGCTTGTCTCAGCTTTCCTCCAAAACCAACTCGCCACCATAGAATCCATGCTGAGTCATAGCTACCGCCTGTGGGTTTCTGAGAGTGTAACTGTTTAAGGGAGTCGAAAGCCCAGTCTTCCTCCCATGGAGCTGCTGGTGGCTTTCCTATCCTTGCTATTTCTCTGTTGTTTGGTAATCTCCATGTGGCATCTGTCTTTTCCTGATTTGTGCTTGCTTGTTTCATAGTGTACACTGTTCTTTATACTACTCAGAAGTGACTACATTTAGGACCACATCTTATAACTGATATTAAACTAACAAAGAAAATCCTACTTTCAAATAAGGTCACATCCAAAAATGGTCAACAGAAAAGTGGGTAAGGTGAGACATCGGTCAGTGTAAGACATGGAAAAATAATGACATAAATTGTCAGAGGGAAAGGAGGGAGAGGGAGGGAGGGGAAAATAAGGAGCTGATACCAGGGGCTCAGGTTGAAGGCGAATGTTTTGAGAATGATGAGGGCAACAAATGTACAAGTGTGCTTGAAATAGTGGATATATGTCTGGATTGTGATAAGATGATTTAATAAAATGATTTTTTTTTAAATCACATCCACAGGTATAGAGATAAGTACTCCCTTACATATTTGGGGGGGGGGGCTTGAGGGTGGCCTTAATTGAATTCCAAAAGGCTATTCCAACATTTGCCAAGTTAACTACTTCACAGTAATGACCATAGGGCAAGACCAGTGATTTTGGTGAACATAGGCCCATTGCCACAATTCATTTTCTGTGAAGTGTGTATGTGAAACACCATGACAGTGGATAAGGCGTTCTGTAAGTACTTGGATGGAGCCCTGGTGGTATACTAGTTCAAGGTCAAAAGTTCAAAATCACCAGGTGCTCCTCAGGAGAAAGATGGGACTTTGTACTCCTGTAAATAGTTACAGTCTCTGAAACCCACAGGGGCCATTCTACCCTGTCCTAGAGGGAGGGTCATTAGTCACAATTAACTAGATGGCAGTAATTCAAAATGTATATCCCAGTAAGAACAAAAGTGTTTCTCCTTTCATGATGCATGTGGTCTAATACAATCAGTCTACCACTATGTTGGTGTCTGATCATCCAGGGGCATGGCGCCATATTGAGGACCCACTGTTGGTCTCTGCTGCTTGAAAATTTGGCACACTGTAGTAACTGTAACTAGGTTTACAAGTCCATGTTATTGAGTCCGTGATAACCATTGTCCTTGCAATAATGGCCAATTTGTTTATGAGCACATCAGACAATCACAGGAATGCATGACTACAGAATGGTACACACAAAATTCATCAGCCTACCCTTTTGATAGTTAAAATTCTTCCTTTTGTCCAACAGTCTCATGAAATGTATCTTTATTTTCTTTTTTATCTATACATTGCTTCTTCCAAGCACAATGAAAAGTCAAATTAACTGTTCTATGTTCTTCTTGGTAGCACAATTTACCTTGAACACTGTCCTTCAGTGATGTCCCAGAGAAGGGCTGATGTTCTGCAACTGTCCACTAAGGACTATACCTTCATATCACATGGAACTGCCCATAAACAATGACCCAATGTTTTTTCATCAATTAATTGAGAATAGGGAACTCAATGAGATCATAGAAGCAGACTGGGAGAGAGAAATCAAAGTAGAAAGACTGGAAGCTATGAGAATTGGGCCACTTCCTAATAAACTGTTAAGGGCCTCCCCAAGTCTAACCTTGTATATACTATTTCAATTTGATGAAGGAGTGCTGCTGTACATGGCCAACATATGGATTACTGGATCTACACCAGTTCATGATGAGCAGCTTAGATCTAATGGTAATTTGGTGGCTAAAGGCAAGCATTTAGTCCTTACTAAGGCAAGCCAACAGTTATTACTCAAATTGAAAGTAGTTATCTGCAGAAAATGGAATGACTCTTATCCAAAGTCCTAAGGCATTAAGGGCCCAGACAAAGGTTCCAAACAGAATCACTATCTGACACTGACACTTCAGGCACCATTGAATCTCTTGGATCTAATGGCCCAAGTGACAAAAGTGCTTGCCTGGCAGCCTGGACCTGTTGCACAGGCTTCTTTTCCTCTGGACCCCATTTAAACCCAGAATCTTTTGGTAACTTGATAAATGGGTCAGCAAAGCATACCCGAACGAGGAATATGTAGCCTCCAAAATCCAAAAAGGGCCACTTGGAATCATGCTTCCCTTTTAGTTGTAAGAGGGACAAGATGAAACACTTTACCTTACATCTTTAGAGTGCTACCTTGGCATGCCCCTAGAAAGATTCCCTAAGACGGAAGACTCCTCAATTACCTAACGCCCCACCTAATTGTCTTACCAATAAATTTAGAGGGTTGTTAGGTGCCAAATAAGTCAATTCCAAGTCAAAATGACCCTACAAACAACAGGAGAAAACTGCCTGATCCAGTGTCATTCTCAAAAATTTGTTACATTCAAGCCCATTGTTGCAGCCACTGTATCCATCCATCTCATCAAGCGTCTTCCTCGTTTTCATTGACCTTATACTTTAGCAATCCATGATGCCCTATTCCAGGGACTGGTCTCTCCTGAAAATATGACTGTGGTGAGGTGAAATACTGAGTATAGCTCTTTCATCCACAATCTCTGCTCTGAGCAGGAATATCATCCTCAGGGCTTGGTGGACCAGGATGTGTTCCACTCTCTCCTTCCCTCTCCATTTGCTCCTGTGTGTTCTGATCATGTGTTCCTCTCCGTGAGCTGTAGCTTCAGCGCTGTCCTCTGATGTGCATTCTTCTGGGGAGGGGGAGGGGTCCACATAGTTGGGATTGGGGTGGGTCCACAGACCTTTCTGTTGGTTCCCTGCTTCATGCTGGTATGTTGCATTCATGTGTTGGCACAATGGGTTGAAGTCTGATCCCTCTCTCACTCTCCTGTGGAGATATAAACAAAACCCTCCACTTGGGTGGGTTAGTGCCATGTTCCCCCGCTACCCAGGTCTTTTCTTTCTTTCTTTTCCCCTCCTTTTCAGTTGACTGGCATATGTCTCCCTGGTTTGGGTCTAGCCCCTGCCATATTACCTGGACCTCATCCCAGGAATGTGTAGCTTTTCCTCTATTCCCCTTTTGCATTTTTAATTTTATCTCAGCAGACTCATGTTGTACTTGTGCTTTGGGGCTTGGCCTACTTCCCTTAGCATAATTTCCTCCAGTTCTTCCCATGCGGTGATGTGCTTCGTGCATTCATCACTGCTTTTTAGCGATGCGTAGTACTCCATTGTAGGTATGTACCACCATTTTTTAATCCATTCATCAGTTGATGGAAATTTGGGTTGTTTCCAACTCCTTGCAATTGTGAGCTGTGCCACGATGAACATTGGAGCACAGATGTCTGGCCTTGGTTTGTTTCTTGCCTCTTCTGGATATATGCCCAGTAGGGGGGTTTCTGGGGCGTATGGTTGCTTGATTTCCATCTGTTTTAGATATCACCAAATCGATTTCCATAATGGTTGTACGTACCTACAAATCCACAAGCAGTGAATGAGAGTTGCTATCTCACCACAGCCCCTCCAACACTTGTTGTTTTCTGATTTTTTGAATTGGGCCATCTTTGAGAGTGTTAGGTGGTATCTCATAGTTGTTTTAATTTGCATTTTGCTTATGGATAATGACCTGGAACACTTTCTCATATATTTATTGGCTATTTGGATATCTGCCCTTATGAAACTTATGTTCAGGTCTTTTGCCCACTTCCTCGGTGGGCAATTAGGTTTTTTTCTTATTTTAAGCTAGCAGTCAGAAAAAAGTGTAACATGTTCTTCCATTTTTGTTTTCTAAATCCAGGTCTTTGCATATTTAATGTTATATCTCTACTTTGTGTTCTTGAAGTGTCCTTTGAAATCTTCTACTCCACTCTTTTACATCATCATATCTTCTGTTTCTTTTCATTTCAGAGCCTCTCCTAAAGCTTATGAAGGCACATGTAATTTAATCACATGGAACTACTTCATAAGAGTCCATGGGTTGTGCAAATGATTAGTATACTCACCTGCTGACCAAAACGTTGGATGTTTGATTTCTCTCAGAGATGCACAGGGATCGGAATACTCCTGAGAAAGCAGCCACTGGTGCCCAGCTCTCTAACATACTTTGGATAACAATGATTTGAAGCCAACTCGACAGAAACTAGAATGGCAACTACTTGATAATGTTTAGACCAGTGTCCAAGTAACCAACTGGTCCAAATTAACTCATAAAATAAACCATCCAGAAAGAATTTACTCTGAAGGACTTGTAACAATATGTCAGAACAGTTGAAGAGAAAAATCAGAGATAGTAGACAACATTCTTACCATTGAATATAAAATGTGATGCCTTGGTCAAGTGACCATAATTTAAATGCTGTGTTAACGTGTAGTATTTGGAAAGAAGTCCCTGTAGTGAGATTTATTTCTTATATATTTATGGTAAACTACATAACCAGTGTTCTCTATTACCCATAGTAATATTTTTACTTATAAAAATATAAATATTGAATGGAGTGAAAGAAAATAACCCTTTTAATTGTGATATGACTTATGGAAAAATACTATCTTAGCTCTCAATATGGCTTAATTAACAGCAGCATCAAATTAGTGTGATTATGGCATTAGAAGGAGTCCCAGTCCAGCCATAATTCTCAAAATCATACATTTGATTCTAAACTTAGTATCTTTCTATTTATTCAAAAAATAATTTTCTTTGGTTTGTAAACTGTGAGTCTTCTAAATGTTCTAACATAGTCTTATAGCAATAGACATGATACATTATCATTTGGAAAATGCTATAAAGTTCAATCTTACCTTACAGTCCTTGCAGCATAATCCTTTAAGGCATGTGGCTCCTTCCTTCAGTTGACATGTCTTAGGGTTACAACAGGTATCTGGTGCACATTTCTAATAATTAGTGAAAGGTAAGATAAAAATACAGAAAGACAACAATGTAAACTTCAGTAGGACTTCTATTTTCTGGACTTATATTGAATGTTGCCAAAATATATTTCAGCATCTCTAAACGATTAAGATATTAATGCAAGACTTTTACTTCAGGTCATAATAAAGTAAATGGCACCATACATAAGCTCCTACCCAATCCTAAACTAGAAAACATATGAAGCAACTGTTTCCAACATTAGACAACTTGCAAAGCAGGATTGTGAGTCCTTATGTGAGAGAGGTAAGTCCTAAATCACTAGTTTTCTGCCTACATACATTTTCTCAAGGAAAGTACAATGTGGTATCATTGACTTGAGAATACAAAAAATAGGAGTTTGAGGTAACTGGGTTAATGGAGCAGGTTATTGGTAAATAAGAAGTTACATAAACAAAGAAACAAATACAAACTCACTGCCATAGAGTTATGCCAACTCATAGTAAGGTCAGGTAGAACTGCCCCTGTGGATTTCCAAGACTGTAACTCTTTACAGGAATAGAAAGCCTCATCTATCTTCCTCAGAGCAGTTGTTTTGAACTACTGAGCTTACAGCTAGTTAGCTGCCAATGTGTAACCACTATGCCAGCAGGGCTCCTAAGAGCTCCAGAATTCTACTCAGGAGACATCTGGAATCTTTGGTTAAGTTGGACTTACTTTAAAAAAAAAAAAAGTTAAGATGCAGAAAAATGCCCAGATAAGGAACATTTGGACTCTGATCAGCCAGAGTGGAAAATCCTCACTGAACTGCTAGTACATTCAACACAGACTTGGGAAAATTTTGCTTTAATACACTGAAATTAACTCTAAAGAGAAAGTTATCTTATAAAGATAAGCTTCAAATGCTTCCTTCCTCCCACTATTATGATCCAAATTCTACCTTACAAATCCAGCTAGACTAGAGCATGGACACTGGTACAGATAAGAGTTCTCAACACAGAGAATCCAGGACAGATAAACCCCTCAGGATCAATAACGGGAGTAAAGATACCATGCAGGTAGGGGCAAGTGGGAGGAGAAAGGGGGAACCGATCACAATGATCGATGAACAACAAAAAACATGAGTGAAGGGAGACAGCGGTCGGTTTAAGATATTAAAATAATGATTTATAAAGTATCATTTATATCAAAGCGTTCATGAGGGAGGGTTTGGGAGGGAGGGGAAAAATGAGGAGCTGATACTAAGGACTCAAGTAGAAAGAAAAAAATGTTTTAAAGGATGATGGCAACATATATACAAATGTGCTTGACACAATGGATGTATGGATTGTTATAAGAGCAGTAAGAGCCCCCAATAAAATGATTAGGTTTTTTTTAAAAAAGCTTCAAAAAGAGTAAGCTGGTCAACAAGTAACTTATGTGTAATTTAAATAAGGACATAACAGAGTCTAATACTTCTCAAAGAAAAAAAATAAAGTCAGATTCTAAGCCATTTAATAGTCACAATAGCTAACAATATATCTATATCAATGATATAGGGCAATATCATTGATATCACATGCAAGTAAAATTTTGCTGAAGATCATCCAGTTGCAGCAGTACATTAATAGGGAGCTGCCAGAGATTCAGGCCAGATTCAGAAGATGATATGGAGTAAGGAAAATCATTGCTGATGTCAGATGGATCTCAGCTGAAAGCAGATAATACCAGAATGATGTTCACTTGTATAGTATTTACTATGCCAAGGCATTTTCCTGTATGGATCATAGCCAACTATGGATAACCTTGAGAAGAATAGCAATTCCAAAACAGTTCATTGTGTTCATACAGAACTTGTGCATGAATCAGGAAGTACTTGTGCAAACAGATCAAAGGGATACTGCATGATTTAAAATCAAGAAAGGTGTGCATCAGGGTTGTATCCTTTCACCACACTTAATCTGTATTCTGAGCAAATAAACAGAGAACGTGGGTTATATGAAGAAGAATGTGGCATCAGGATTGGAAGAAGGTTTATTAATAACCTGCAATATGCCGATGACACAATCTTGCTTGCTGAAAGCGAAGAGGATTTGAAGCACTTGCTGATGAAGATCAAAGGTTGCAACCTTCATTATGGCTTAAAGCTACCATATAGAAGACCCAAATTCTCATAACAGGCCTAATGAGCAGCATCAGAGAAATGGAGAAAAGGTTGAAATTGTCAAGGATTTTGTCTTACTTGGATCAACAATCAATGCTCATGGAAGCAGCAGTCAAGAAACCAAAAGAGGCATTGCATTGGCTAAACCTGCTGCACGAGACCTCTTAGAAGTTCATCGCAGCACAGTTCACAATTGCAAGGAGCTGGAAACTGTCCAAATTTCCATCAACAGACGAATGGATTAAAAAACTCTGGTACATACACACAATGAAGTATTACGCATCCCTAAAAAGC